AAAAAAAAGATTTTCTTATTATTTAGACTTCAACAACACAATTATCAATGATATTTACAAGTAATTCAGCTGTTGAATCATCGGGATTTCAAGCTGCAATAGCACTTCATTTTCCAAGTATGATTTTATTAGTATAAATGATTATTTGATGATTATTTTTTGAATTTAGTGATTGCTTCATGTCCTCAAAGTCTTGGATTTTTTCAATGTAAAAATAAAAATTGTATTTCAAAACAACTTCAATGTAATGGACGAAATCATTGTGGTGATGGAACAGATGAAACTTTGTGTAGTATCTTTTTTAGTTAAGATTTTATTTTATTTTGAGTTTATCTTTTTTTTTCTGTTCATAACAAAAATTAAAAAGAAAATATAAATGATCTAATTAATAACTAAATATATAAGTTACTTTGTTTGTTCATGATACATAATCGATTTTTTTGATCAAAAAAAAAAAAAACTTTTCGTGTCATGCTGATTGGAAAACTAATATGTTCAGATTTTATATGAAAAACGAAGTCTATGAGACTAAGTTATAAATTAATTTCACACACTCAGCTTTATATGTTGAATCTAAACATATCAGTTTTAAAATCCACATGATATGGAGATTTTTTTTTTTAATAAATAAAATTAACAAAATACACATTCCTACTCATCTCGTCAAGTTCTATCTAATCATGTATTTGAAAAAAAACGAAAAAATAAGCTTTTCTAGAATTTTACATTTTTTTTTCTACCTTACACAGAAGATAAAAATATATATTTAGTAAATGATATTTAATATGAGTTAAAGCTGTTTGAATGAAAGCAATTATGTGCTGTACATAAGATGTTTATATAGCTGGATTTAATTTTTAATGATTATGGTTTAACATTTTAGAACGTGATACTATACTAATACTTTGTTGAATAACTGTTGATGAGAAGATAATATTCACGATGCCATAACTAAAAGAAATATTTATAATGAAATTGAATTTTTGTTTTCAAAAATCGTAAAGTGTGTTTTAGTCAGTAAAAACATATTGGAATAATACAGGGTTGAAAATAAGAACATATACGCAATGTTTCACAAATGGAAAATATCTAAGTCTAGGAGTTTGTAAAAACTGAATATTATATAGTTTCTTATGAATATATTATGATTATCATTAGATAAAATAAGTTATTAAGTTGTACTGAGTTAATAACAATTTTCATGATCATTAATTAACATTTTTTTTTACATATAATTCAATATAAGCTTCTTGTCTGAAAAAAAAAGTCAAGTCTTGACTTTCTGGAAAGAGTGATATAGATCGAATCTTGACTCATAAGGAAAGAATTGCCTTACTAGTCAAAGTTCTCGTGTATTTTAATACTAGTCTGATTTTTATGATGTAAGTGTAGTCTTGATTATGTGGTAATAAGGTTAAACAATAGATCCGTTGACATGCGATTTTACATGAAATATGAAAAGAAGAAATAGAAAATTTCATTGTCATATGATGAATCTGATATGATCATACAGAAAAAGTAAACAAGTAAATGATACAAATATTAAATTTATGTTGAAAATATGTACCTTTAATTCTAATTCGTCTTTGTTATATCAATCATTTGATATCAATATATTGAATGATCTATTGTCTAATCTTCTATTCTGATAATTATTGATGGATCTAAAAATGCATGTTTTCTATCTAATATGTTCACTTATCTGATATCAACGTTCAACTGATATGTTATCTAAAATGAAGATCTTCTGTTTATTTACTTGAAAACATTATTACAAACTGTCATCGTATAGAAATGAATAAATTACGTACAGACGTTTATTTTTATACAAGCATACATATACGTTGTCTTGATAATTTTGCAAAAAATTTTCTTGACTAAACTGCAAGAATCCTTAAATATTTTATAATTCTTTCCAGATATTTATTTTGTCGATCAATCAAATAAGTTTCTATCTTGAACTGAAGGTTAGAGTCTTGCTTGAACTTGACAAATAAAAAATAATCGTGACTGATCATCAATCAAGAAGAACACGAAATTGAAAAGAATAATGGCAAGAATGTAGATGAGTGAAGATTTTTTTTTTCATTCACAATACTCAATCACCATTTGATATTGAAAGTAAGATTTAATACCAATATTAAAGAACAAAAATGAATCCCAAGGTCGAAGAAAACAGTGCTATAAACGGTGTAAAACGAGATAAAAATAGTACATAGGATATCTTGCTTTAGGATTCGGTTTTCCTAACACTGTTTGCTCTACAAATAGATTCAACTGCTTTTATGATACCTCAGGTAGAACTCAACTAGTTCTACAAGACAATCATTACATTTTTATTTTCATCAAGGTAATTAGAAAATATTACAACGTACTATAAATCATGGTAGGAAAAGTGGATTTTATTAGTATTTTTCATTACGATTCATTCCTTCATCAGATTCGAATCGCTAGTTGATGAGCTCTGCATAATAAATTATTTTGTATTGAATTTAGTATCTTTCTTCTAGATTTAAACATGAATTATATTATGTTGATGTTAAGTATAATAATGTTATATTGGCAAATAGGACAGCACTTCTTAACATAAAGTTTAGGACTGTTTTTGATGGAGTCTGTTTTGAAAGTAGTATTTGTCTATGAATGCTATAATGAAATTATTTGCAATTTTATATATTTACCTTTTTCTTTACACTGCATTCGAATAGTTCGTGAAACGTTTTTTTAAAAATCATGTATACAACAAACAAGTTTTACACGAGAGTTAAAAGTTGATCGATCTCTTTTTTCACTCTGATTCTCATCAGCTTCATAATGTACGTGAGAAAAAAATATTTAAAAAAATGTGATTCGTACAATATAAGTTCCAAGTTCATTGAATGAGTTTTGTGATTTTCTCTAAATATTTCGAAATTCGTCTATTGATTCCTTGATTAAGTGTTGTTAGTTTGTATCTAAAAGATTGATTTCACGTTGTCAGTGATAATTTGGACTGGTACAATCAGCATTGCATACTTGAGAATGCCACTAATATGCAGACTGGATAATACAACACCCATACATGTAACACTACTATCACTGAGGCCGCGATTGATACCAGGGTTGTCACTGAAACCTGAAGAAGTAAGAGAAGCATCAGCGAAACATGATAGCTACAAGGGCCTCCAATGACACTAGCACGGGTATCGGGGTCGCCGTTGACGCAGAAATGGGACCTGGAGCCGCCAATAAAACCCAAACCTTGAGAGGAGGGTCGCTGAAGCGAGGACGAGTATGAAGATTATCCTAGAAGAAGGAACGAGTATGAAGGCCACCAGTGAAACCCAAACCTGTGAGAACATTACGTTTCAAATCGAGGTGGGTCTGGAGATCACTGGTGAAACAGGAACGGGTACCAGAGCCATCAATGAAACTTTTAACCGTGAGAAGGCCACTTTTGAAACCGGGATGGGTTTGGGGATCACTAGTAAAGCTGAAGTAGGTCTGGAGATTACTCGTGAAGCAGGGACGGGTTTCAGGAATACAAATGAAACCGGAGCCTGTGAGAGGAACATTTCTGAAACCGGGACGGATAGGGGACCCCTGGTGAAGCAGGGATACGAACTAGAATCATTAATGAAACCCGGACTTGTGAAAGAATCACTTCTGAAGCCATGATGGGCTTGGGGATCACTGGTGAATCAGAGACGCGTATCAGGACCAGCAATGAAACCGACATGGATGGGAATATCACTGGTGAAGCTGGGACGGGTACCAGGGCCATCAATGAAACTAGAACCTGTGAGAGGATCACTTCTAAAACTGGGATGGGTACAGAGACGACTGGTAAAGTTGGGACAGGTCTGGCAATCACTGGTGAACCAGAAACGAATAACAGAACTATTGGTAAAGTCCAGACCCATGAGAGGGTCACCTCTGAAGTCGTGACAGCCACGATGACTATCACTATGGCTGAAACAGGTGGAGATATGGGTCCTGAAATTGCAACATACGTTTAGAATGAGATATTGGCTCGTACGTATCCTCGAGCTGATAAGAGAATTGGAATCCTTCGCGGAACCGGTTGTGAGACTCACAACACTATCTGAAGTAGAATCATAAATGACTCTGCTTTTCTTACCTCTGAAACTACGTTGGAGTTAGTTGTGAAAAATGATTGGCCTTTTAGGCTACATGCAATACGTTGTTAAGCCTTGTCAGGCATTTAATTATATGCGATCATGGGAAAAAAATGCAAGTGAATGAATGGTATAGGACACATTTTTCCAACCATACTCTTGACATTTCATTATCATCCCATTAAGCTTATTCAAACTGACAAGAGAGAATAAGCAAAATCATGATAATATATTAGCTATCCTAATGTATTATATCATTAAATAGTCATGCGCCATTAGTTCACCTTGAAGTATGTATATGCTAAAGCCAAAATTATTTCAGGGGATATATGTATAAGTAATATGATTCTTATCTCCCACTCGTATATAAGTGCCTATACACTACACTCACTTTATCATTGTGATTATACGCAGTTTTGATATCAATACAACGAGCTAAGGTATGCTTTTATAATAGTCCAAGTGCTTCATAAGACTTCTGTGCCGTTAGTATCGATAGAATTACTCTGTCGATAAGGAAAATTGCTAACATTGTCTCGTGTTATTTCCATTTTATTTGATTGTTTTTTGTCTTGCTGTGAAACCATTTCCTATTTCTCTACAGAATGAACAGCTAGGATTGACTATCATGAAGCCGCTTTACTCACAAAGCATTTCTAGACTGGATGAATGATCCAGCTTCTGTGTGAAAGCGTAGAACTTTGGTCATTCTATATTGTATACCCACCCTTAGTATACTGAAAGATTTCACTATGTTGAAAATAAAATACGATGCTATATGTAAAATAAGTGCTTCATAATTTTCATTCAAGGACTTCTCTTTAGCTGCTTATTGACACAGTTACTGCAAAGGATTACAGATTCAGGGTGAAGAGTTGTTGCGCTCAATATCTTGTTTTCGTATGTTTATTAACACTGACTGCTAGTCTATATATGTTAAGAACGGGAACTGAGAAAATCGCGATATCGAGCACTCAGAAGTGCAAATATTGTGCAATCATTGATTCTCTAAGGATCCTATATCCACGTTCCGTCGATGTCTACAAATTTCCAGTGAAGTTTGGAATTGAACGAATACTAAGACCAGAATTTCTAGTAAGACAGAGACCGGCAGTAGAACTGGTGCCCAGACGCGAAATAATAACGAAGCCGCACCGGGTCTGCAACTGTACGCAAATCAGAACCGTCAGTGAAACCGGAACCCGAACTGATACCGGGATCGGGATGGAGAATGAAGCCCTAAAATGAACCGACAACATCATGGGAAACGGGATGAGACTGAGACCTGGATTCAAACTGATATCATGTTTGGGACTTTCACTAACAATGTGACACAAACTGGAAGCAACATGTGAACCGGGCCTGAAACGTAGATCCCAAATAATATCAGCATCTAGACTGTGACGCGAATTTATACCCGGATTGGGATGATCACTGAAATCGTATGCCAAATTGATAAATAGAGGAAGAGACTATGTAGTTTATTCTATTATGGCAGATGCATGATACCTTATAACTGTTGCGTGATCTATGTAAAATTATTATGCTAACATCTCGTTAATATCTTTGTGGAGTTTTCTTCGTTTAAGACGTGCACTTTTGTGGAAACATGTACATTAAATTCTCTTCAAGAAAATATAAGAAAGATTTACATTGAATTAGATTTTTAAATAATTGAACGAAAATAATATCAAGATGCTTCAATATGTATAGCCAACTTTCTTGCAGAAGAACGTATTTATTTGCTTTGTTTCTTATAGACTATCACGTGACATTAGAATAAGAGTGACATTTTCGTGTTAATTTATTTTAAATCTAAATTCTTATCATGCTAAATAAAACAATATCAAAATCTTGACAAGTTAAATTTAAAGTCAAATTTTTCTTCTATCAAAATTTCAATTTTTAAAATTTATTTCTTGATTTGATTAATTTTTTTAAATATAAATTGATCATTTCTGTACTAGAAGAACATAAAAGCTGTGTTTTAGAATTGGAGGATTTTATCGTCCACTTCCAATTCACTTTGTTTCGTATGAAAAAATTTATTCGAAGACAAACATCTTTTTTTTCGAACTCTATGAAAATCATGTTTTCGAAATGACAGTTTTGATACAGTCAAGAAAAATCTCGTGCATCAGTCAACATAACACGCTGACGTTAATTTTCACTTTCTATTTATCGAGATTTGAATGACATATTGCACGAGAAACTGAGAATTGGAGTAAACTATTTTTAACAAAATGAATGAAATGTAAAAATTTTAAAACTCTACTTAACGTTCGATACACTCGAAGAAATTCCTTCTTGAGTCAAAATGTAACTTTGCTGAAACTGACTTTACCGTTCGCCATATAAAAAGAGAAATTTCTGATTTATGCAAATAATTTTTATCAGGATTTCTTTCATTTGTGAAACTAGAAAATAGAGTCATCATATTTTGAGAAAACTGTTCAGAAATTTCACCATGTTGTAGTTTTAAAGTATTTTAATATATTCTTGAGCAAAATTAGAGAAGGAATCCGTTAAAAAACTTCTTCTCACTTTAGCGAACAAAAGATAGAAAAGATATTGACAAAGTATTGGTACTGTCTCTTAACTTGGCTTATGTGATGCATTTATATTACCTAACCCAATTGTAAGAGTGTAGTAAAAAAAAATATAGTTCAGTGAATCATTCCACTATTCATGGTACTTAAGTTCTCAAAAGAACTCCACTGGAAAATGACATAGTGCTAAGAAAAATCATAGCTTCGACACTGTGCATATCAGCATTTTCAATAATCAAAGCTCTTTTTTTTTCGATTCAATTTAATATCTAGTCTATAATTTGAATTATACATTTTAGAAATCAAGCTCACAACTTTAATTTCAAAGTTTCTGACAATAGTGAATCGTTATTATCATAATAATTGTCAATGCAACTAATGAATAACAATGATGCTGGTACAAATCGATCTCAGTAAGTTTGTTGACATTTCGTTCATCCACACCACAACTAACATACTAATTGGTTATTGATGAGATGGAAAGATTTCTAAATGTGAACTCACCTCTCGATTAAAACAGTGATCAATGAATTAGTCATAGAAAGCTTTATAATTCTGTAACTTCGACTAAATGTCTGAGCCATTCAAGCTGTATCATGAATACTATTTTAATCAAATCTTGATATATCCTAAAGTTTTTTCGACATTCTGGTAACTGTGAGATCTATCTTTTTATAAATTTTCAGATTGAAAACACTTCACTCATTTGTTCCAAAGTATTTCAGAACAGTTCGAGAAGCAAATAAAATCGGGTTCATCGTTCAGTCCTAAAAGTTCATATATTGAATTTAAGTTAGAAATTTACACCACTCGCTATGAACGCTAAAATAATCACAATTGCAGTTGAAAAACAATTTTCCACTCAGAAACCTCACATCATCAGCTTAGCATTGATGCCACTTTCGCTTTCTATTATACTGATAAATGAATGATGTACATTTTCTGTCCTTTTATTTCAGAGGTTGGCTTGCTGGATGCATTCCATTGGCGGCTGGAATAATCATTTGCCTACTTTTGTTTGGGGTTGCAGTTGCCGTCATACTTTCTTTAATACCTGTATATCTTAAAAAGGCTGGCGACAACATCATTTATGATAATAGCATAGGTATGTCAACTCTTTCCTTCAACTAAATAGTAGATCGTATTTTGTTTTGAGTCATCATTGTGAACGATTCAGAAATAGTATTCGAGAGCAGATATAATGGAAAATTCAATTTTCTACTAATAGATATTGTCTAGCAATTCTAATCAGAATAATGCACCATGAATATTCTATGAAAAAGATTGCATCAAACCCATTTTCTCATTTTGTCGTTCAGCAAGAGTCAGATATTATTCAAAAAAAAGAAAAGTTATCTTTCATCGAAATTACAAAACCTGTCGTCCTTTAATAATGCTTTGCATAGATCAAATTCGTTATTGAAAAAATTGCACACTATTCACCATTCGAATGTTATAGATTTCTATCAATATCTACTAGATATCATCAGTCTTTGCCTTCAGCTCTTCTATTCAATAGGATGAGACTTGCCATTCACAATGTATTTTGTCTGATGAAGGCTATAGCATACAGTTTGTAAGGGATGATAAGGCCATGCTCTATAAGGATTCGGAGTCAATAATTTTCTCTTGATTGTGCACAGTTTTTTTTTTTCGTCCAGAATTTGAGAAATAGAATCCTGGTTGATAACTGTAATTGATTTTTTGGCAATTCCAATGACGATTCACCTAGCTTAGATCAGTGATTATTCATGAGCAAGTTATTCTTTCCAATATATTTAACATCATTTTGTATTGATTATTTCAGTGAGAAACGTATTCTAATACATATGATTGAATCGATGCCTTCAAAATTTATAGAGTGTACAGAAATCAAAGCTAAGATTATTTCTAGACAAAAATATCATCAATTTGAAATTAAATAAAAAAAAAAGATTAAAATCTTTTTTCGGGAATTTCTCCACGAACACATGAGGAAACTTAGTCAATGTTTAGTATGTGCGCTATTCGTCAATTTCCTTGGAATTAAATAAAAAGTTCAATAATATTTTCTTATTGAGAAAAATATGTCATCTTATTTCATTTATGATCGATAATCTTTTTGAATTCTATAGGTAGAATCTGTTGTACCATATTTTGAATGATGTACATAATTGAAACATCAAAACTAACTCTTATAATTTAAATCCGCATTTGAATTATTGAATGTGTTGGTATAATATATCTTGTATTTTTCCTGTAATCTATCTAGATTGTCACTGTTCCTCAATTATTACTAATCATTAAGTTTTTTTTCTAGATTTTCGAATATTTTTGTTTCATTCTATCAAGTCTCTCAGTTTTCCTTCCAAAACAGCTCAACTATAAAATTACCAAACCCCGAAGTTATATAGATCTCAATATATATAAATAATCTTTCAAATCAGTCTAAAATTACTAGGATGCATTCTTCTTGCAGATGATTGACTATCAATCGTGAAGATGGGATTCTACAAGCAGATATGTCGATGATAAAAATCTTTTGTCATGTGATTTAATTCATCAATTAGGTCTTTTTAAGATTAACAATGTCTGATATAAGTAGTTTCTGTGGATATTCTTTCTTGATGCATGACCGATTTTGTCGATTTATTTTTGTTTATTGTAAGAGTTATTTAGAGAACCCGAATGACGCTATTGCCATCTATAATTTTCGAATCAGAAGCCATTTATCCTATGTAGTCAACATATAGGTTCAACTAATAACTATTCTAAAAGATCACAACTTTCCATTGACTCTTTTGTGAGATATGTCAGATATGATTAGATCTATAAATGAGGCGATGCTACTTCGAAACAGAAAATCGACAGGATAATAGAACTTCTCCTTACTTTGCTCTTTTCATACTCACACCCTAAAAAGTATTATTTTTATTCATTTAACGAAGACCTCTAAGTATACCTACGATAGAGAGGGTATTGTAAATATTTTCCTTCTATTATTATCATTCGTTTCATATTGTAGTATCTGGCGACATTACACGAACCTACGTCTCAAACATGGTAATAAATAATGGTCAGAGTACGACAGTCACCAATACTAATACATTAGCCCGACAAGTAATTCTATTTTCATTATATATCACGTATATTTTAACTAATTAAGTTGAATGAAATTCTAGTTAGAAATTGCCTATGGTTTGCCAGCAGGTTCGTTAATAATCACTAATATTGTGATCAGAGGTATTACAACAAATGCTGGTAGCGGTCGTCGTCGTCGTGCACTTTACAGAACAAAACGTGACGTGTGCGTAAAGATTTTACATGATTTTCTTAGAATGCATTATTGTTCAAAACTTGTGTAACTCTGTTTTAGATCTAGTTGTAGTCAATTCGGATTTGCTCGCTTATTAGTGGAAATCACAATGCGCGTAATCTACCCAAAAAAGTGTGGTGTATCACAGTCTTGCAAAACAAAATTTCTCCAGAGTACTGTAGCTCAAATAAATGCATATGGTGGAAATATTCCATTAACAATCATATTTGCTGACGGACGCTCTATTACATTGGTGTTATACCCTTGCACCAATACTGGTGGTTTATCATTGTTCGATATTACAAGTCTTACAACTACAACTACACCAGGTAAAAAGTTTTCTTTTTCATAAATTTTGATGTACATTGCCACGTATATTTTTGCTTTTCAGTTTTGAGAACTTAAACTAGTAAGAAAAGTTTAAAAACTGAGTGCTCTCCAATTGTCTCCTGAGTTAATATTCATAACTAAGAGTTGATCAATGAATGAAACTTAATATTTAAAGAATATCGAATGCCTCAACTTTTGTGTATTTTATAAGTTATGAAATCGAAATATATGTATGTTTCAGCGCAGTAGAAACGTCTTGATAATAAATAATATATCAGCTAAATGTTACTTATGAGATATTAAGAACTATTTTCGTACACATCTCTTTTTTAATTGAAGTCAAATAGAAATAAAACTGTTGAGTGAGTAAAAATCATTATTAATCAATTAAGCAACCTTTTTAATGAGAATTTTTCACTGATCAATCCTTTCTCTGACGAATTGCCAGTTATCGGCTCAGCATTACTCGACTAAGGTTGAATTATATTATGAAATATTATGCACAAAAAAAGCGTTTAATATACTTTTCTTCGTATATCACACAGAAGATTTTTGAGTGAAATTGATCCAGAAAATTTCATCAAAAAAGTACTGCGAAACTGACTGGTCTGTTGATCAGAATTGGAATCAGTAGAGATTTTTCTTACTGTTACCAGCACCATTATAAACGAACAGACTAGATACGGTTGACCAGTATATCGGCAAGAGTCATGCTTACTCTTTTTGATCTTATAGCAACTAAGTCAGAATCTTGATTGATCATATTGACGACCTAATCATTATAATAATGATATAACAATCGTTTGATTTTGTCGCTGGTTTTGACTGAGATCTTAAAGATCGAAAAATTGCTTAATTGTCATGCAGAGTATCTTTCAAGTAGCCAGTCGCGAGTGTTCTCTTTAATACGATGCCTAACAACCTATTTATGGGTTTCTTCGTATCTTTCTACGGTACGAAGCATCAAATTGATATATTCGATAATCTCATGCAAACTATATCTGAGAGATCCATGTCCCGAGATAGTATAAATGTTTCATGATTATTTGTCGATCTTCAATAAGTTCCATGAATAGTTATTTTAATATTGAGAACTTTTATTTTTCTCGAGATGACGAAAATTGGCAAATTGGTGAATGATCAAAACACAGATCAATGGAATAAAAAGTGACTAGTCTCGAAAATTCGAAGTTGCTTTGTCCATCTGCTGTCGAGTTTAATCCTCTCAAAGTTTGCATGAATTTACGTATATTATGTTGTGACAATCTCGAGATTGATTGTAGGCTCGCCTTATTCCTATTTCAACGCGAGTCAAAGCTTTCATGGCACAAAATCCGAGCAGTAGCCTAGAAAAGAACTCATATTGTGTGAAAGGTCTTTTCAGCTTAACAAATATCAATCGAAAATTCAACACACACACACATACCCCATTTTGCACACTAAAGGAAACTTGCATACCATCTAGTTCTGCTGCTATACTTTCGTATCGAAATTCTGTATATTCTTTTAGCTCCCGTCTGTTCGCTTCAATGGAACACAGTTGGCACGACTGTAGCAGGTGCTGCTAATGGTGCCGCTGGTGTTACACTCAACCGGCTCAGCGGTCCTCGTGACATATTTTTGGGTTCATCCAGTACACTCAATATCGCTGATAGTAATAATAATAGAGTCCAGAAATGGACGATAGGTGCTGCCGCTGGTACGACAGTCGCTGGTCAAACAGGTGGAGCACCTGGTGCAGGTGCAAATCAGCTCCGTTTTCCTACTGGTGTCGTTGTTGACGAAACTAGTACCGTCTTGGTGGTAGATGACATTAATGATCGAGTTCAATCCTGGCCATTAATAGCAGTTCAAGGCACAACCATTGCCGGCGCAGGTAAGACAAATTGATATTTAAACGATAACCATTGTGACTTCAGCCTAAAACGTCGCAGTATTTTTCGCAACTAATTGTGCATACCTTTAAAATCGGCAATGCCTAAGAAAAAAACGCAGAAAATGGAGAGCAATTTCTGTCGGTAGTCAATATCTTTAAAAATATTTTAGATATTCCTTCGGAATTTATTAAAACAAGCAGTGATGTTCTATATCGCTTCGACCCAATGATAAGCTTGTATTCTTTGATCGAGAAATATTCGTGTAGCTTTGTTTTTCTGTTAAAAAATATATATAGTGTGATTTTCTTCAAAAGTTTCTTGAAATCGAATTGCCTAAAATATATAGTCGAAATGAATTTCAATAAAATTAAAAACAACAACTAAGATAAGATGCTGACTGAAAAAAAGAATAAGGAAACCATTACATTATAAGCCTCTTTCCGATAATTACATGTAACGATCAAAGTAGTCGAACTGTTCTATTAATTTCAAGCGCATACGTTGTTCACTAGTAGGTGTCAATGATATGAAAAAGGAGTCTTAAAATACTGATGTCTATGGAGAGATATCTCCATTAGGCTCCGACATATAGACTAAACAACTGTTAGAGTACTGTAAAAGTTGTATTCAAAAAATAAGCCTTCTTCTTGAAATAATAAACTTTTGTAGTGTTGCTCAAAAGTATACGCTATACTGAAACTAAAGCTTCTGGAGGTCCTATTAACCAAAACTTTGCAAGAATGCTTTTCTTAGTGCTTTCTAATTGACGATATAAACTGTAGTCGAATTAGTTTGGTATATTATGACATATGAAGCTCCATGTCATCCACACTACAGCTCTAGTCTTTCGTAGGAGTTACAAAATTTTTACCTGTTTTATCCATCAACATCTATTTAGTCGATAAAACTTTAAGCACATAAAATTCGAATCGATTTTATCGAGCTCTAACACATTGACAATCATTATACTAGTGGTCTCACTTTGCCAGAAATCATATATCATCAATCTGAGTATCATACCTTCTCAAGAGTACAATATTCTGCGATAAACATTTTATCAGGTATTTCGCAGGCATTATTCTACTTTGAGGATGAAAATCTTCTCTTCATGATCATCTTCATACATTCTCAACCCACAATAGTTATAGTTCAAAAGCTTTCGCTGCGCGTACACAACTGTGTAAACACTACGTTCTGTAAAAGTCTTCGATTGCCATATAACACACGCTGATTAGCTAACATATGTACACATAGTAAGTTCTATTGTCACTCAGTTTTCTTGTACATTGTTATTGTGTATCTTGTAAATGTTTTATCTCTCAAGCTATTTTTACAGCTGTTCAAGTCACCAGCTCAGAGTGTGTAGCTATATTCGAGATGAAAATATACTATAGGAATAATTTTTTGAATTTGCAACGATAATAAGCGAGTTCTGATGTCCTTCAATTGGATAATCAATTTTTTTACTCAAACTATTTATTTACATTTCAAAGAGTTCTTGCTTTCAATAGAGACTCATTCATTAATGAATGAATTTTCGAATCTATGAGCACAAAATACAAAAATTGCCGCATTTCTTAGATCATTTATCTTTGGAATGAAATTTTCTAAATCGTCATTAAAAAATTTGTCATATGAGACAATAATATAAAGATGATGGATAGTTTTTCAGTTACTTCTAATACAAGAATAATTTTTTCTTATATCGTACAGATTTAAATCTAAATTTGACTGATCAAATTTTTCAAAAACTGCTTCTGAAAGTATCCGTTATCAATGGTATTATGTGTATATTCTTGTATACGGAACACATTTTCATAGTTCTAAAACAGATATTCAGTTTTGTTTCGAAACTGCAGAGTTTTATGTGCTCTAAAGAACTTATTGTTCTGAGATAGCTTGAGATGATAGATTGCTTGAATAAATTTTCATCGGATTAGGTTTACAAAATCTAGTCGTTTGGATTTTGAAAGTCAAGGATTGTCTGAATATATATTTGTAAATCTTTAATTATCACTATTCTTGTGCAAAATTTCAATACTTTGAAAAAAATGCTTCTTCAAAATTGCTCTCAAACACTAGAAAATATATATGTCAATCCTAGAGCAAAAATATCCGATTTTTCCGAATACTCTTTAGATTAAAAAGGTATTTTGAAAACAAGTAAAGATATGTTAGTGGTAACGAATTGCTACAATTTTAATTTATTACGCAAGCGAAAAATTGCGAAGCCATAGTTGCTCAGTCTGCGATCCAGCTCTGTTTAAGTTTTTCACAGTGCTTGACCAATCATGGATACGTTGCTACTCTGCCATTTAATGAAATAATGTTTTTTGAAATAAATCATTTGAAAAGCTTCATCAAACATGGTTATTTTGTTGAAACTTGTGTTTGTTTTCAGGAGGAAATGGAGCGGGAAATAATCAATTCAACCGTCCATTTGGTATTGCACGTGATGCTAACACGAAAACACTTTACATCAGTGATTCGTTGAATCATCGTGTGATGCGATATTTAGCAGGTGCAGCGGCTGGTACTGTGGTTGCTGGTGGTAATGGAGGTGGAAATGCCAACAATCAGTTGAACTTTCCAGCTGGTATCTATTTCGATGCAGCATCAAACAGTCTTGTGATCGCTAATCGTAACAGCCACAATATCATCCGCTGGGCTATAGTACCCAATACACGAACAGTTATTGCTGGTAGTGCTGCTGGAGTAGCTGGTAATACAGCAATATTACTAAGCAGTCCAGATGGTGTAACGCTCGATTCTGCTGGAAATATATATGTGGCCGATACAGGAAATAATCGCATACAGTTGTTTAAGGTTGGTCAAACTAATGCTATTACCATTGCAGGAGTACCTGGATTACCTAATGCTAATCCATCCTCACTACGTGGTCCTTCTGCCGTTAGACTCGACAGTCAAGGTAATTTGTACGTGGCCGACAGAAACAATAACCGCATACAAATGTTCATGTGCATCCAAAGTTAAACGTAGTCAGTTTCTATAAAACTTTGAACATGTTTCACTTTTTTAGTTTTACTCATCCGTTCATATTTTAGAAATAACTAGCTTTTGGTTGTCATATGCACACATTATCTCTATACTAATTTTTTTTCTTTTCTTAATAAAACACATATATATATATACATATTGGGGTGTGGATAAATTAATCGAAAACAGATCGACTTAACTCTTGAAGAATATACGAGTTCAATATGCTAGTCTCAACTTTTGCTTTTCAACAATCGATGAAATCGAAAATTAAATAACAACAGAATGATCAATTCATTCACAAAAGACAAAAAAGAACAAAATTGAAGAAAAAATATAAAAGAAAGAGCGCATGCAGAACGAATCAATTTGAAATTTAATTACCATGAATTTCATATCAAGATTTCTAGTTTGTGTTCATAGTGTCGATGCTGTATGTGACATTTTTTTTAAAATTTCAGGCAATCATTGGGCTTTGCGTTTCTCAAATTCAAGCAGATATTTATTCTAAACATCTTATTCTTTTATTTTTGAATCAGTGACAAATGTGGTTTCATATCAAACCGACTTTACATTATATTCATTCAATATACGATGGGAAAAAATGCAAAATGCGAGGAAAATTTGTTTTTTTTTTCGTTCATTTAAACATGGTTAGCTAGAGCTTGCCGAGTTCAGTAAGAATATGTACTTTACTATTCTTTTAAAACGCCTATGGATAAAAAAAATCAATTTTTTTCGATAGTCACGAATGGTTCATTTTTTCTGAAAATATGTTTTCTATACCAAAAATGTGGATTCTAAAACTGATTTGTTTAAATTTGCCATGAAAAATTAAGTCTGTGAGATTCGTTTTTGGCACAATTCAACTATGTTATGATGATAAAATGCATCGAATCATAAAATAAGTGGCAATAACATTTCAACAAGTGGAATCAGCACAAAAAACTAAGTGAAATAGAATGGCTTCGTCTCATTTGCGAAGACTTTGAGTCTTTGACGATTTCTGATTTCTGAGAAAAGTCATAGATTTTCATGAAGAAATTAAAATTAAGCGAACATTTTGAAATGTACCTTATTGGACTTAGGTTTTTGTACTGATGTTCAATCTATCATTTTTATCGCAAAATCGTCGGGTTTCTGAGAATAAAACCTTGTATTACTGGCAGAATTTTATATTTTAGGGATCCCGAAACACAGTGACACAATCTTTTTCTCCAGCAAAACAATATTTAGAAAACCTAAAGCATTCTTTCGAAGTATAATATCTGGCAATTTTAATGTTGTATAAAAGTTAGACATATCCTAACATAGAAAAAACTAGATAACTTTGCCGAAAAACTCATCGTCTGGTGGATACTACAATTTACATAAAACGGAAAATTTTTTTAGAATCGAAAAAATAGACCATTCAGAACTATCGAAAAAACTTGACATTATTTTAGTCAAAATGCTTTCCAAAAAAATAATGATAAAATACATATTCTTACTTAACTCGACGAGCTCTATCTAACCATGTATAAACCAACGAACAAAAAAAGGACGTACAGATTTGAACGAGCAAAAAAAGAAAATGTTATTCATAACTAAACTATGGTTGTATTTGAGATTTAGCCGTATTTTAAATTTTTCTCAGAAAAAGCCTTGTTGTGTTTTGTATTAATGTTTTCCGAAGAAACTATAAATTAAATTATGTAAATTTATCGTCAATTCTCCTCAGGAGATATAAATCATAAACGACAACATAAAATATTGAATAGCGCTTTCTATATCTAATAGTATTCGACATGGATCAAATTTTTGTGACATCAATCAGACACTGATATCTAATAGTTTCAAGGAGAGAAAGATGGCTCACAATTACTTTCAGTCTAAAGTAACATATATACCGTTCAATAATTCAAGAATCAAACTAAGATGTTCTGAATGATTTTCATTCATTTTGATTTTAAAATTTATTCAGTTAGATGAAACTCCGAGTGGTATGGCTAACGCTTCTCCCTTCATTACGCTACTATTCCAAGTGTCTTAGAAATCAATTTTTTATAGTGTAACTTGCACGTAAATTCAATTTAATGAGCTCGTTTTTCAAGAAAACTATTCATTTAAAAGAAAAAAGCTTTTTGTTCTTATATGTATGATACATTCAATATTCTAATTAAACGATAATCTTTTGTCACCTCTATCCTTATAATATATAATTATTCTCTCTGTTCNTTTCTTATCATTTAGAAGTATTTTCTAATGAATCCGTAATCAAAACTGAATATTTACTATAAAGCTGAGAAAAATTTCAGTTCCTAACTTGCTCACTAGAAGTTACTTTCGTTCTATGGTTACTATCGCACAAGAATCAGTATTGATAATAACTAAGCCAAAAAGAGCATGAATGGGGGTACAAGTCTACCTGGGAATTATAATAATTGTAAATTTTTCTAGAGAATCTCAGCGATTTTTTGGAAAATCATTGTCTGATTCCCTTGAGTAGGTGCATTTTCAATTTCAATTTAGTCATATAGCAACTGAATGTCCACTTTATAAACTGCAAAATTTTGAGGCGTTTTCAACCTTTCGTTAAAAAATGATGACCATTTTACTGAATTTTCAACACTTTCCTAGGTATTTACCAGAAAATGAAATTACGGAATTTTGAACTGAAAATTTGTCCATAGGATATCCTAAATGTTTTGATCGAAAAGGATATTCCTTTCTCGAGATATTGGATTTTCAATATCACTTGGAAATATACCTAATCAAGCGAATCAAACAGTGATTTTCCAAAAAAAAATTTCTGGAACCCTCTAAAAAACATTTCAAGTTTTTGATTCTTAGGTAGACTTGTACTCCTACTCACGCTCTTTCTAACAGTGAAAATCCGAGCTTGATAGCTATCAGCGTTGCCGAGTTGTTCAACAAACAACCAAGTCCGTTCTTTTTTGAAATGAATAAAATTTCACATTGAATTTAAAGTGACAATAATTCGATTAGTGAACTTGGTAACACCCAATATTTCCTTCTTTTTTCTGTTGATGTTAAATTTAGAGAATTTCGCTCTCTTGGGACTTTTGTAAGATAATTTATTTGGGATATGTTTTTAAAAGTATTCTTTTTTATCCTAATCCAATTCGTGACTGCTTAGTGATTTATTTTCAAGGTAAAAGTATTTCACTACAAAAATTTAGACTCCCTTGCGTTGTGTATTAATATAGGGTTGTTTTTTAGAATTTCAATTTTGATTGTTGGTACTTTGCTCACGTTTCTTCAGTTGTTGTCGTTAAAATCATTTGAAAGTCTTAGGTAAACAAAAATTGTAATTAATTCATTTGAATATGTTTCCAAAAGATTTTTTCTAGTAGCAAAAGGCTCATTGGTGTTTTTGTCTACTACAATCAGAATAGTTTTGATTGATTTGTTCCGATCAGAAAATTTCATAGCTTATGTTGCTATAATTTATAATGGTTGATGATAAGAAAGTTGCAATGCATACTCAGTTTATTGTGCGTAAATGATGAATGAAAAATAGAAAAGTTTGATATTTAAGGATACTGTCCATTTGTAAAAAGTAGATTGAATAATAAATTATCATAGCAAAATCATAAGCTAGAGCAGTATATGATGCTATCATTGAACCTTTTTATGATCATTTGAATAGAAGTCTAGGATTTTTCGATTCGTTTATACCTGGCATATAGGAATATATTCATAAACAGGATTGCCAGATCAAAAACGTTAAATTCAGAAATTTGTTTTTCACAATCAGAAAAACAATCAGAATTTTTTTGAGCGAAATCCGAAATAATTTAGAAAAAGCATGTTTTTTTGCAAATTATTGGCTAGTATGTGAATAAGGTGGTAGAAAAGACTTTATGGTTTTTTTAAGCGACCTTACTTTACTTTCATAGGCATTTTATTGTAAAGAAACACCGCAATACATATATATTATTTAGTTAATATGAAAGCACAAAAGATGCTTAGTGTAGAAATCTTCCACTAGACTCGAACTTCATTTGTAAAAAATTTCCAACAATAAAGTAAATATATATCACGTAGATTAACAAATTCTACAGAAGTGAGTTAAAATATTTTTATAAGATTTTTCACAAGAATAATTACAATTCATTCCTATTTTAAGTTGAGCACCGTCATAATTCGGAAGAAAATCAGAGAATTCAGGAGAAAATGCCAAAATCAGAACATCAGAAAGCATTTAGAAAAATTTTCAAAATTCAGAAACTTTCCATTTTTTCAGAACACCTGATTCCCTGGTGTTCCATGTATGTATATTCAAAAATAGTCTGTTTTTTTGTTCCAGCCAAGATGGACATACCTATTGTTTTCATAATCAATTCAGCTATTTTTTATTTGTTATTGAGTTATCGTTCTATACATCTAAACATATCTTTCATTCAGAGGAAAAAAGTCATGATAAAGTAAAACTAGATGAATATAATTGTCTCTCTCACTAAATAATATTAATTTGACGTGAAAAAATGTTTTTGTTTTCATTTTTCTAGAAAATGTACTGAGGTTCAACGTAGTAAAAAATGGTCGATAGGATATAAAGTTTATAATTCTTGATGCATTTTAATTTAAAAAGAAAAATTCATATTGAAAAATCTTAATTTCCAGAATATCACGATCTCTTCTTCACTTCGATCTTTTTTTTTCAACAATCTTTCTCTTGATAGATAAACAACAGTCTTGAGGTTAGAATTTGTCGTATAAGATGAATAATATAAAAATACTCTTTTAATATTATTTGATTCTAAATTATCTTTGACAATTTCTTGAATACTTTACAAATTAAAAGACAATCATTATATGACTTTTTCACTATATTCAATGATATTCGTATTGATCTTTTGAGTATAGATATTATATAGTCTGTAGCCATATCTAAGACCCAGATAACCTCAGGAAGAGATACGGGTAACATGAAAACACAAGGAGAGAAAGGAGAGGCATATGGATATCGTTACATGAAAAGATTTCTGTTAAAGAATGGAGGTTATTGATTATCAGAATTTAAAAAAAAAAAACAAAATGATTTGATCAAAATTTCCAAAAAATATTGTCTGAATCATTCGATGAGATATATCCATGAACTACATATTCACTTCGCAACATTGCCTTCAATGCATTTTCAAAGTTTGCATCTGTTGAGTGTTCCAATCCAGAGGTCTTCATCGTTTGCAAGAATGCTAAATTTCCTTCCTTTCGAGCAAGAACTGCTTTTCGCATGATAATTAACGATGGATTTTGAATCAGTAACAGGGCTAAACGCCATTTTTGACGTACTTTCGACGACGGATTGCTTTGTTTCGCTCTTTGATGAATCAGAAGAATGCTAGCAAATGCCAACATAACTGGATTTCGATGAATTGCTTCCATTTGAATGAAACCCGAATAGGCACAAAAGCCTGCATCGCGATATTCGAGCTGCCGACCCAATGGTGAATAGTCGAGACGTGACATATAAATGATCGTTATTATGAAACTATTCAAGATACGGGTAAATGATGCAGCCAAGCCGAGAAAAGCATCGAGAAAAAAATCGAAATACAGTAAAATCATTGATATACGATGATTATTAATGGCAAGAATCTGGTTCCGTTGTTGTAAGAAAATATATTTGGCAACAAATAGATTGAGATAAACTTTCAACATACTCAAAAGAATCACTGGAATAATAACAGTTAGTACTCGTTCAAATAATTTTCCATTATTTTCGAATAATTTACCAAAAATATAATAAATCGAAAATGTTAGTAAGAAACATAGAATATAACCCCAAATTGCATAACCGATAAAAAAGCCAGCAAAATGAAGATTTCCCGTTGCATACAAAAGATTCTGTAAATTATCTCTTTTAGGTATTTCACTATGATTGCCACGAAATATTTGTAATAAATGGCGTCGCATACTTGCTAATAGGACCACTACTTGAATGACAGTAATGATGAGTGCTGAAAAAATAGCCATGAAGAATGGAACTTTCACTGCTGATACAGAAGAAGCAGGGGACGTTTGATTTTGTGGCGTACTAGTCTGTTTATCAGCTGACTTTGCATTTGTGGAACCAGTCCACCCTTCAATTGTGATTTGCCAATGTGGCAGATTGGGTAACTCTCGAATAGTCAATTTAATGGTAAGTACAAACAGTGCGAGAAAAAGAGCTGCATAAATACAAAAAATACGTGATGAAAAACGAAAATCATCACGCCATTCATAGATAGACGTCGGTAGCAAGCGAGCTGTGAAAGATCGACTAGGAGGATGTACATCAGCAGAATGGAAAAGATTTCTTACATAGAGCGTTTCAACAGAATATGGTTGTGCAGCAATAAACAATGCTTGTTCTTCTTGTGTGTAATTCAATTCATGTCTTTCTTTATTATGCCGATATTGACGAATCTTACTGACGACCATAATGGGCAATCGAATGCTAATATAAGCCAAACATAAGTATCGTGGAATATCAATGCAGAGTTGAATAGCAATCAAATTTGGACCGGTACCATAGTAAGATAGATATTTAATGACATCAGCTGATGAATTTGTTGCTACATAATCACTATCAGTTGGATAAAAATACATTGGACAATAGCCTTGATGGAGAATTGTGATGATAAAATAGAGCCAGGTATAGATTGTTGCACAGGTCAATGTAAAAATGGTATCGATATAAACACCAGCTAACATGGGATAGTAGCAAATGCAGATAACAAGCACTTGAGCTATATTGTTCAAATATTGGATGATCGAACCTATAGTAATCAACAAGAAACATGTTGACAGTGACATTTTTTTGAATACAATCAACTTGTCAGAAAATACTCCTGAGAGTAGTACAACACGATGAAAAGTTCTAGTGAAAGAAAAAAAAAATTTTGTTTTTTGCTTCTCAAATTCGGGATATTCAGACGACTCATAATCGGATTATCAAATATTTCTCCTAAATGCTGTACCATTTCTTCTGGTTCTTTCTTGTTGAAAAGCTTGCTGAATAATAACCAATAAATGATTGGACATAATAGCAAAGACCACAGCGGCAAATGTTCGTTTGATATGAATGAAAAAATTGAGAGGAACAACCGGTCCTACATAGCCTCGACATGTATCACGTTTGAAAGAAGTTCGTTTTGAAATAATGATAAAAACAATGATCAATAGGCAAGCAGTTGAAAATGTGATTATGTTAAGATTTTGATCGTCAATGTATGAACAAAAATGAATTGGCACATAATAAATCGGCATTTGACGATAGTATTTATCGACAATATCATTGTGAATCGGTTGAACAATAATCCATCGAATAATTAGGGCTATTGCGGCAATAATTATCATCAGTAGAACGATAAACAATGAAATACAACGAAATACTGGTTTTCTCTCATCGTTCAATGTTTCATCCACAGTTGTTATTGATGAATCGGTCTCATTCTTATTTTCATTTTCATTTTTATTCACTTTACGTTCTTTCTTCTTCTTGCGAATACGCCAAATGATTTCCAATGTATGATAGAATAAAATGAGAACGCCAGTAATCACACCCAAAGCGATAACTTCGTTTCCTGTAGCTGACTCTAAAACACTAAAATCATGAACAATTTCATTCACAAACAGCTCTTACTCTACTTACGATTTTCGCATGTTTTTCCTTCCCACCAAAATTTGCATTCGCAAATCCATGCATCAGCACTTTGATTAGTATTATTATCGATGCAATATCCATGGCTACCACATGGATTGAATGTCGAACAATCTTGAATAGAAATAAGACTTATGTCTTGAACCAGCTGCTTTAGATAGTTGTAATCGACTACTCACTTTGAACATCGATCTGTGTTATTGTGGATGTCGTTGCTAATAAGNGCGGCAATAATTATCATCAGTAGAACGATAAACAATGAAATACAACGAAATACTGGTTTTCTCTCATCGTTCAATGTTTCATCCACAGTTGTTATTGATGAATCGGTCTCATTCTTATTTTCATTTTCATTTTTATTCACTTTACGTTCTTTCTTCTTCTTGCGAATACGCCAAATGATTTCCAATGTATGATAGAATAAAATGAGAACGCCAGTAACCACACCCAAAGCGATAACTTCGTTTCCTGTAGGTGACTCTAAAACACTAAAATCATGAACAATTTCATTCACAAACAGCTCTTACTCTACTTACGATATTCGCATGTTTTTCCTTCCCACCAAAATTTGCATTCGCAAATCCATGCATCAGCACTTTGATTAGTATTATTATCAATGCAATATCCATGGCTACCACATGGATTGAATGTCGAACAATCTTGAATAGAAATAAGACTTAGGTCTTGAACCAGCTGTTTTAGATAGTTGTAATCGACTACTCACTTTGAACATCGATCTGTGTTATTGTGGATGTCGTTGCTAATAAGAGCACACTGGACATATTATTTTTCATTGGCGAAAACATGTTGATCACTTATCACCTAAGTATGTACCTGTTAAATATAATGACTTGTAATTATTGGTCTCATAATGAATGTGTTTCGTGTTGCACTTGACTGAATATGACAATTAGTTAAAAAAAAAAAGAACATGCTTTTTTTCTAGTTGCGTATTGACTATATCATTAACGGCTAATTAACTTTACTTGAGCGAGTCTCTTTATCTGCTGCAAATATTAACTGCCTTGCTTTTCAATATTGATACACAAAATAAATTACCGTTTCTTTTTTCAAAAGTTATCGGAACATATTCTTTCAGAATTGATTCAGATTTTTCAATAAATCTCTATATATTTTGAGATAAATGTCACACAATACCTCGATACACACATGTACACCTGCAGTATGGGTGCATTGAAATATTGAAACCGTTAATCAATTTGAATAGATCATTAATAAATAAATAAAGACCATCGAAACAATAAATCTCAAAAAATAAGTTCTAGTTGCCCTAACCAGACTATAACAGATATGTCGCAGCCTGTCACGGTTTGTGACGACTCCAAGTACTTTCAACATGCTTGTCTTTAACACTCGAAAATACTGTTGGGATTTAAGGTAGGTATGGATATGAGCGTGATCTTCTTTTTATTCAGACACGCACACTGCGATACCCGCACCTACAGCTAGAACCACACACACTCAAATAAAGGGCTCTCCTTGAAAACTCTGAAATGGTGTCTGATTGTTCGGAGACTCTGGACTACACAATTAACATTTATTATACAACAAAAATTACTATTAAGTACTCTCTGGTCCATTACGTAAATTAAAAAACGTACTAATAAGTGATCTTTTTAAAAGATTATCACTATAATTACAAATAAAAAGTAATTTTTATTACATACACTTTCAAATATTTCTTGTTACTTGCACTATCATACTAATCAGTATTATTCACTTTCTTAAATTATCTTTTATTACTTACACAGCCTCAATATATTCTAGTTTGAGATTTTCCTTATTTTGTTGCTCGAGATCGAATTCAAACTGTCTAAATTAAATTTTTCATTTTTCTTGACGTCTTCAAATTTGAAAAATGCCATGTAAAACTACGTGATCAAACTTATATGCAAACATCTATATATAAGACACTCTTATAAATAAATTAAGATTAAGATTGTGCAATTACACCTTAAAAGTACTTGTTTGTGAAGTACTTAATACTACATCTTTGTGTTTGATGTTTTACAGCAAATCACTTATAGATTCGACTTTCTCGATCTCAAAAAACTTTTTGATAAAACCTTTTTTTAAATGTTTTGTAGCAATTGCTTTAGAGCTCATTGAAACACCGTCAACCTTTAGAGATTTCGAAAAATTTTCGACAATCAATTAAAGTTTCCGGTTATATCTGTTATAGATTCAGAAAGTTCAGAAATTCTCTGGGTCATCGATAAATTACTTCGAAAATCAGAACAGTATTTCCAGAAACTCCTGAAGGTTTCAAATCAACTTTTTCAGTAATATTGATTTTGTACGATACTTTTCTGATTTCCGAAACTACTAATAGCTTTTCGACAGTACTATAGGAGTATCTAAGAATACCTTTAGAATGTTCAAACCAACATTTTCCAAAGCCTATCGGTTTTTAAATCTTCAAAAACCAAGAAGATATTTTTGAAAATGTTGCAGAAAACTGGATACCATTTTGAAAGCCTATGAGACTTTCCGAATAGGTTTGAGTTTTCCAGGCAACAGATATTTTTAGAGTGAATGACAACAAAAAGATTTCAGAGAACTGATCCATGCATTTGGGTCGTTGTGAATTTCTTCTTGATATCGACTAAAGTCTTTGAATGACAGAAAAATTTTCCAGTTCAAGCTTGTGCGTGTCAGAGTTTCCGGGAAAAGTACGAGGTCACATAGAAATTCGTAAGCTTATATGCGAAGAGTTTCATGCCGTCTATTCAAGTGAGAGTGGTAGAAAGATGCTACATCTATCGATCCGCGTGTCAAGATGACTGGAAAAATCTTGAGACCTTCTGTACATTTGTCATGGCATCACGAAATATTTTCGAGAGCGAAGCAATCGCACACTATTAAAGTAGTGATGAAGACAGAACATTTTTATGAGGTGAGAAGAGGCTAAGTCTCGTCTAAAGGTGAAAAGAGGTATACTTTCCCAATGTCAATGACATATAGTTCTAATCTTGGAAGAAGAGGAGCTGAGCCTCCCCTGCTACCTCTTGAATTCGTCATAAAAAATACGTCTAAATACTATCGAATAGCTAAAAATAATCATATTCCTTTACATTCTATTTCATTTTTCATATTTGCCAGCAAGATGATTGAAGCGTTCTCAAAATAAAAGGACATGGTTTTCTATTATGGGCTACGTTTTCTTCTGTTAGCATTTACCTAGAAAAATAAATTTTTTGACAACCTTTTCCGGTATTCAAACATGCATTTGTAGTATTTAAGTGTCAGAAGCAAAAATTGAAATGTCTTCACTCGAGTTTAATCAAATGGATTGATTTTCTTCATTGATAATAGAGACCTCTGTAAAGTTTTTTTTTTTATATAGATTATATAAACAAATACTACTTTACAGTATCCTCATGGTCTACATTAAAGACATTTAACTTATAACTTACTGTCAAATAGTAACAACAAATTTGTTGAATTGAAGATGGTACAACGACAGAACGACTATTATTCATTACTCGAAAAGAATGAAACGCAAAGAAGAGAAAATTAATGTCGACTGGCATTCGAATCCAGGTAAATATCACAAGTGGTAATTCGATAGGGACTTTTACCAGCTAAACTATCGAAATATCATCTTAACTCAAATATAGATTCAATGTGAACATTTTTTTTCAACCTTTTCGAGTGATATTATGAATAGAAACTTGATTGTACGAAAAGTAACTGTAATCGACCTCGATAATCAATGATTTGAAAATATGCATGTGTATATGGCCATTGAAATAAATCATATATAATTATATATAAATGTATGTGACAAGATTTTTTTTTTTTTCGTTATTCGAATAAAAGATGGTAAAAAGGTTTTTGTTCATCACTTAAAAAGATTATAATAATTGTTTGCATTGAATTTAAATTTGAGTTAAGACTGTGTTTCAATAGTTTACTTGGCAAAAGTATCTGGTTAGTTAACAATTGTGATATTATGTGGGTTCTAATACCAGTCGACACTCATTTTCTTTTCTGTATACTGCATTCTTTTCAAATGATGAATAACAAC